AGATGAAGGTGGAGGCTGGGAATAGTGGTGATCAAGCGGCAAAACTGCCAAGAACCAATTGAGCCATCATCCGTCGTGACGATTAAACATGAAGGGGCATGGAGATTAGGGCTTTGGCCAGCTGCCAATACGACAATAAAATTGGCCAATGCTGTCGAGCCGAGAGAGGAAGGTATCCAAAGGGGAGATCAAATAGAAGGGGAGGTGGTGGAGGAAGGAGCCCAGCACTGGAGACAGCCTCTGGGACCGCCTGGCCAACACCGATTCCGCTCTACTGTTCAGTGCACTTGGCTCGGCTAGCCTCTTGCTGCATAATATTTCCGATTAGTTGGAGTTCAAAGAAATTCTGGACAAACTGGTTAACCCATTAATTGCTGTTTCCGTACAACTTTTTGGCACTTATGGGACAGAACGGAAGTTCGAAAAGATATCCGGATGGTACCTCAGTTCAACAGTGTTCCGATTTCTTTTTTTTCCATTTTTTTTTTTCGGAAGGCTTCGTGTTTGATTCAATTGTTTTGCTTTTTTTTTTTCCGTTTTTAACAAAAACTGCCAGAAGATGGATAACAATGCTTTCGTAATTTTTAAATTTCACAAATAAAAAAATTGCTTGTTCGTTTGAAGAAAAAAAAAAAACTTTTTTTTTTTTATTGCTGTAAAGAAAAACTAGTAAAATTTAAATTTTTCATCTAGTCTCAAATCAGTGAAAAAAAAATATATATATATATACATTAAACACCACAATTCTACTAGTCTATTGGTATGCAAATTTGTAAAATTTAAATTCCCGTACGGATGCGTCATTTGTTTATTTGTTTATCAGTTTTTTTTCCTCATCCTTTGCCTCCTCCCTCTTTTCCTCTATCATTCATTCAGAAAAATGGAATTGCCTTAGAAGAATGAAAAAAAAAAAGAAGCAGCTAGACAGGAAATGATCTAAAAATGGACTAACTAAAACAAGGATGATAGTGGTGCGCACAAAAAAAAAAACAATTGCTGTTGTCCTGAACTCTGCAAAAATTTTTGAACGGCACGGCTAAACGACCTAAAGAACATTGTTCAAAAACACAGTAGCACCAGCAACAGCAACAGCACCAATAACATCAACCAGTGCAACAGCAGCCCCAACAGCAGCCGTAGCAGTAGCAGCAGCAGCAGCAGCAACAGCAGCAGCAGTAGCAGCAGCAACTGCAACAGCAACAGCAACGGCAGCAAAGCGTATCGGCAAATATCCGAACAAAAAAGGGAAGAAAACACTGAAGAAGAAGAAAAGGAAGAGGAATAACAACAACAGAACTCTCTGTTTTCCACTCAAAATATTTCCCCACTATTCCCCACCCCTCTTCCCTCCTCCCTCTCTTCTCCTCTCCAAAAG